GAATTTGCAATGGTGCATGTGTCTTAGTTTGAGTTCTTAGAGATTTACTCACACTGGTAGTCAATATATATTCTTGTCTAAGATTTTTACACATAGATCACAGTAATTTGTGGACATTAAATTGATATACAATTTTTAGTTTGATTTGAACATCGATTAATTATTTAGAATTGTAGGGTTTGGTGAAAAGGGTTTAATGATAAGGGGAGATACATTTTTTTGCTATTGTTTGCCCAGGGGTGTCTTTTCACTTCTTGGTTTTTCACTGCAGCTGTCGCTATTTTTGTAATTTTGAAGGGTAGAAAAGCCAATAGTGCGAATAGTTTTGTTTATTAAATATGAACATGCACTCAGGCCCGGATTCCCCACAAGGCCACCGAGGCCAGGCCTTGGGGCGGCAGGGCGCAGACAGGGCTGGATTTACTCTCCCTGCCGCCCCAAAGCCAGATTCCGCAATACTGTGCAATCCTGTGCACTGTGCTGGAACTCCTGTGACAGGTGAGAGTGTATACACGGAGCGGCAGGGTTAGTTTTAACCCTGCCGCTCTGCTCACCGCAGTGAGGAAAGACTCGGCGGTGGAGGACGGAGCCAGCGAGGAGAGAGGTAAGTGCAGGGGGGACGGGAGGACGGACCAGCCGCCCGAGGCAGACTTTTTACATGTGATCTCGGCGACATCGCCGAGATCACATGTAAACGAACAATCGGCTGCCTCACACTACATTTAGTCCTGCTTGTGCAAAGCAGGACTAAATGTAGAGAGGGCAACTTACCTCCCGGCCCCCGCAACTTCCCCACAAGGACGCCCCTCTGCGCCCTGCCGCCCCAAGGCCGGGCCTCGGTGGCCTTAAAGTGAAATGTTTTTAAAAAAATAATAAGAAATAATAATTAAATAAAATAAAAAGGTGATTAAAAAGGAAAAATAATAAGTACTTGTAAAAAGTAAACAATAAGCTAAAAATGTAAAAAAGTAAAAAAAATAAAAAAAATAAAAAAGTGATAAAAAACAAAGAAATAATAAATAAAAAAAATAAAACTAACCGTGCCGCCCCTGCCATCCGGTTGCCATTCTCCGTTGATGGGGGGGGGGGAGATTGGCAGGGAGATTGCAATAAATCAGCCAATTAAAATCATTATCAATTGGGGGATTGAACCTGGTCTGAACCTGAGCTCCTCTGAACCCATAAGGAGCTCCTAACGAACATGGAAGGAAGCTCCTTTTGTTCCTCCCAAAAAACTGCAGGCAGGTGATTCCCCGTCCGCAGCTTGACGTAAGCAAATGGCAGGGTGCAGTGATGTAATTTACCTTATATGGTTACATACCTATATTTGGTAAATAACATAATAATATACATCACTTCCTGTTCATTCATGATTGGGGAAATAGTAATCACTTACTTTGTGCTCAGTTTATGAATGGACAGGAGCACTCAGTACAGAGGCTTCCTGTCCATTCATTACTTGGGAGAGTAGTATGCCTCCACAGTTTGTGAATGAAAAGGAAGCCTCTGCACTGAGTGCTCCTATTTATTGAATGACGGGGCTGTAAAAAAAAAAGATTTAGGACTCTGTGTCCACAAAAAAAAAATTTCTATTTGAAAAGGAAAATATCAGGGGTCCGTTTAGACCCCTGATATTTACCCCCGTAGCCCCTGACAGTAAGTAAGCAGTGCCATGCGTTGTAGTGCACTGCTGTGCGATTAGACGTATGTCTGCATCATTTTATCACAACACACAGCAACAATCAGGCCACTAGGGATGGGCCGAGTGTTCGATTCGAGCATGAGTACGAATCGAACAACGGCAGTTGGAGCGCTCGCCGAATGCCGAACTTTATGGGATGTTCACGGTTTGTTCGACCGCGTACATTCCATAATACAAAATGCCTGAAGGGGCCTGAACGAGAAAGTTCTCTATCAGGTCCCCCCATGCTGATTTACAGTGGGCGGGTGCAATAGCCAGCTTGCTATTGGCTATTGCATTTTACAATATCCAATAGCAGGCTGGGTATGGCTCCCAGCCTGCAATAAAGAGGAGGCGGGGGGGCGGGACAGAGGTGCCGCGGCCAGACGGGGGAAAGGAGAAGATGACGGACCAGGGGAAGACAGCAGCAGAGGTACGGGGGCAGCGG